CAGTCTCAAACCTATCCTAAGGTGACAATTAAAACAGAGATGCTTGCTTTTACAAGATTAGATAATGCTTAAAAAAACAAGACAAAACAAACAGACAAACAAAACAATACTGGCAGCTTTTCTGGTAACTAGTTTTGAAAATGGGGGCAAAATGTTGAAATCAAAGAGTGCTATCTCTTGACGACTATGGAAACTGGTGGGAACTCCCACCAGGAAAGGGACGGGAAGAAAAGGGCAAAGAGAAGGGCGTGACTGGCCAAAGGCAGCTGGTTGTAGGGAACACCCAAGAGGCATCAGTGTCTCACAGTTGCTAACACGTTTAAATCCACACATGCCTGTAAATGGCACCATCCCCTATTCACAATGTAGCCCACATGACTGTGGAATTCAGGGCCAAGTTCTTCAGACCAAATTTGCACCAGCTTTTCATTCCACCATGCAGATCCTCTTTGTAGCCCTTCCTAACTTCACTGAGTGTTAGCACTGCCTCCGGCAGCACCTTCTGCTGCTGACCTATGATGCCCCTGAAATGCAGGTGAGCCCATGGGGGCACAAGACACCCATCCCACCCTAACCCTTCCTCCCTCCCTTCCCTCCTGACTCCTGGTCCATTGCCTCTCCACAGTGGTCACATAAAGGCCAGAGCAGGCTTAATAAAGAATCAGCCAGGGGGCGCTTGGATGGCTCCGTAGGTTAAGCATCCAATTTTGGCTCAGGTCACAATCTCACAGTTCACAAGTTCGAGCCCCGCATCAGTCTCTCTGCTATCAGCACAGAGCCTGTTTCAGACCCTCTGTCCTGCTCTCGCTCTCTCTCTCTCTGTCCCTCACCCACTTGCTCTCTTGCTTTCTCTCCCTCTCTCAAAATAAATAAACAGTAAAAAAAATTTTTTTTAAATAATCAGCTGGCATTTCAGTGTATGCTGTATCCAGAGTGAGGAGGAAGAGTTCCCAGTTATACTTAAGAGGAATGGTCTTCCATTTTAGAAGCTTTTATTATGTGAGACAACCCGGACTAGAATAAGGAAGGAACCCAGAACTTTGTCATAAAGGTATGAGTTGAAGTCCAGGCTCTGTAGTCCTGGACTTTAGAGGACTCTGAAGTCCACTGTGCAATGGTACTTCCTATGATGATGGGAATGTTCTATAGCTGTGCTGTCCAATATGGTAGCCACTAACCACATGTGGCAATAGAGCACTTGAAATGTGGCTAGTGAAACTGAATGACTCAGTTTTTAATTTTATTCAGAATTAAGTAATTTACATTTAAATGGCCATATGTGGCCAGTGGTTACTCATTTGGATAGCACAGCTCTCTTGCTGCCTAGCTGTGGGACATTAAGCAAGTCATTTTTTTTTTCATCCTGAGCTCCCTCATCCATTCATGACTCTGGTACCTCACAACTTTGTTGGATGGACAAAGGGAGAAAAGAGCCACTTGAATGCCTAGCACAAAACCATACACTTTAAGTATTCAAGAGGCTTTGGTTGGATCGGAAAACGTGAATCTCATAACAGTACAAGAGAAATGCATGCTAACAGTCTAAGCCTGGATTTTTCTCCAGAATTGATTCCTTATGATTGTTTTATTCATCCAAACCTCATTTGCCTGCCAGAAATGACCTCTGAGAAAACGAGGGCTGAAGACAGCCATGCCACTTACAGGACTGAGGGTACAATGCCTACCCCTTACTGCCCCGCTTCCCCCAGGAGCTCAGACATGTCATTTTCTCCAGGTGGTAATGGTGGGAGCAGCTGAAAGCAAGTCAAAGCGCTGCATACATCTGATGGAGCCAAACATCTTTGAGAGTGTTGCCAAGAACTCCTCTCCTTCTCCTCCACTTTTTAAACACGTTGTTTTCAGGAAAAATTTGCCCATCTGGTTCTGATTCATTTGCACTTAACTCATCAGAGGGTGGTGTTGTAATACCAGATTGACTTGCAAAAAGTTCCAATTCACATATCTCCCCAGCTTCTATCCCAAGAAACTGGGGAATGGGTTTGGCCAGCAGATGCATAAGGCACATAAAGATGGGACAGAGGGCACAAGATGGCAGGTCCAGCTCTGTTACAAACACCCCAATGTACCCCGAGCTGTCCCTCATTTCTGGGGCCTGGACCCGCTCTCCTAGGAAATGAGGGTTTCAACTGTGTCTCAACTCAAATCCATAGAAACTGACTAACAATAGTTCTTTAATATGGAAAAGCCCAGTAGGTGTCACAAAGAACTCGCACAAAATCGGATGGTTTGATGATGAAGTAAACCTAGAATATGTTTTGAGATGATCCAAAGAAAGAAAGAAAGAAAGAAAGAAAGAAAGAAAGGAAAGGAAAGGAAATGTGGTTCCTAGAAGTTTGGGTGAATTCAGGAAAATCAAATAATTCTAGATTATTAGCCTTATTCTTTAGTTGGTAAAATCATAACGTTTTATGATTCAAATATCATATATCAGACCAGGCCTGAAAACTGAATAGCTCTACACTGAACAAGGTCTTCTGGGATGGTCTGATGGATAAAAGACAGCAACGAGTACTGGGTGGTAGTATGGTTTGAACGGCAAATCCAGGCCTTACATGTAGGGCAGTCTGAAACCAGAAACCTGCTCTCTTTACACTCAACTACGTTGTCCAGCAATGTTGTCCAGCAATGGTTACTAATACTATGATTAGTATTCAATTTAACATTGAGATGTTACGGGGTGGACTATTTCATTGAACAGGGGTTGTGTGGGTGACCACATGGTGGGTTTTGAAACCAACGCCTATAACTGTATCAAAGGAACTGCAGGATTCCTTAAGTAGCTATGTGAGCCAGAGTTCTTAGGATTCCATTCTTCTCGAGTCCTGAAGAGCTCCCTACAAAACTCACTGACTACCCATAAAACCACTGTTGAGATGATTCCATCAAAGTCTTTGCTTCCAATAATCTCCTCCAGGATCACAACTCCCAAATTATATCCTGAGACTATATCTTCTTCTGACTCCCTGTCTCATATACACAACTGCCTCCTTAATATCTTGACTTAGAGGTCTTACAGGAATCTCAAACTAATTATGTCCAAAATAAAACTTATTCTTCTCCCACCTAATGTCCTCTCTGTCAGTAAGGAGCAATGCCATGAACATAATGAATCAAGAGACATTAGTTTGAGAGACACCAAGATCAGCCACTGTAAGTCTCTCAACTTTTTGTTGAATTTCGTGAACAGCGAGGTTAGAACATTCTGAGTTAAATGGAATCTAGATCTATCTTGTTATGTCTCTCACTCACTGAGGATGCAGTAGTTAAGACATTATCTTCCATGGACGTAGGCTTGTTGATTCAAGTCCCTCCTAGAACATTCTAGTCTATTCCATTAGACTGCAGGGTCTGGAGAACAGAAGGAGCACATTCTGACTGTTCTAGGTTCTTAGCACACAGCCAAGTGCAAAACAAAGTGAAAGAGACTATTCTCAACATCCTCCTGCGATTTCTCGGTACCTTTATGGTAGCATTATCACACAAGCTATAACTGTCTCTTTAATCTCCTTCACTAGACTGTAAGCTTCATCTTACTGGTTCATCTCTGCTATCTTGGCTATCTTGGAAGCTCATAGCCTGACACTTAAAAAGTGTTGAGAGAATATGTAACGAGTAAAGAAATGACTAAATGAATTAGTGAATGAAGAATAGAGAAATCAAGGAATTGATGAGGACTTTGGTCCCCAAGGCAGCCCTGGACACACTGCCTCCATCCCAGACCTCCTCACACACACTCCCTTTCCCCAACCTTACAGCTCAGGCCGGATGTGAGAAGAAAGCTTCAGGAAGAGCTTAACGTTCAGTGGAAATTTCTCACCAGCAGTCAATACCCCCAGTCTGACTTCCAAGATTATCTCTCTCTCTCCTCTCTCCCACTCTCTTTAAAGTCACTCACAGTGTCTTTTCCTCCCTCCAGCTTACCCATTACTTACAATAATGACTTCAAACACCAAGCATTGCTATTCAGGGCACTGTGAAAATGTGTTTTTCCCATCAGTCCTGATGAAATAGTTTCCACTGTCTGTTTCCCTTGCAGATAGCAATCAAAGTCCGGGAGCAACAATTAAAAAAAAAAAAAAAAAGTCCAAACTCTTGTCTGATATAGCATCTAAAACTTGTCCTTGGAAAGCGACACCCAAGGGAATTTAATCAGAAACGCTCCTCACTTGGCCCAACCCACTGCTGTTGAATAAGAGTACGTGGAATGATTTGTTTCTGGGAGATTTCCCTATGCTTCCCCCCTATTCTTCCCAGAAGACCAAAATAAGAGCCCTTTGAAGAATATTATTCCCTTAAGACCTGTGCTGGGATCTCCAGAGTCTAACGCTAGCCCGTGAATTCTCACTGTCATCTTTTTACTACATCCTCTGGTGACAGCCTCCAAAGCTCAGAGTGCACTGGTCCCTGAGCTCGCACTCCCTCACTTTGGTTGACTTTGTATCACCAGGTCAGCACCTATCAGTTACTGGATTACCGAGTCAATACCTACCACACCTGGCCCTATAACTTACAAGTTATATGACCTTGGACAACCATCCTACCTCCTAGCTTCAGTCAGTGAAGTCAGGGAAGTCAGTGTGCCCACTGACAAACCAGGAGTACTCCCCTGTGTCTCACGGGCTAGTTGTGAGATTAAATGATGTGAGACAGCAGACGCTGCATGGGAATCAGTCCTGAACTGGTTGGAGAACTGGCTGGAGGTGAATTCACCTTCCCTTTGTCAACCTCCCCCTCCTCGGAAATTTTATAGCACTAGTACTATGCATTCTTAGGCAGAACGGCCTATAGAAATGGTCCTCTGAAAATTCCCATTTTAAATGCTGAGTACACACACAACACATGCATACACTGTACTACACATAACATCACACTACAACACACACACACACACACACACACACACACACACACACACACCATAAGCTGGGCATTTGGACATTTGCCCTTTCAAATTCCAAGGATGGTCTGTCTCCACTGACCTTTTCTTCTCTTGTGATTTGGCCTTCTTCACTAGGAAACAGCCCTGGTGCTCAGTCCAAAGAGGTTATGAGGAAACACTGTGGGAAACATAAAGAAAAGGGATACGCTGTTTTTCTAAACACTTTTGTTCCTTGGTGAGTTTAGACCCTATTTCTCATGTCCATTGGTGACAGGCATTAATATGTAACTAACTGGTCACGTATACGCAGAATATTTACCCTCGATTAGGCACCATGCCAGTGCATTACATGCGGGATGCACTTGACCCTTACAAGATACCTTTACGACAGCAATCAAGTTGCAGGGGGAGCAGTCATCCCCAGACACTCTTACCTGCTGAGGGTCCATCCAACACCAGGGCTCCCCACTCTAGTTCTGCTTGCTAGCAATTAGAAAAGCAATTGTACCTTAAGCTGGGATGACCAATGATTAACCAGCCAAAGGATACCGTGTCAGTCTTCCTATATTCCGTTCATAATTGATCCCAAAAAGTAAAGGTGGGCTCTCCAGGGATTGGGGACCATGGATGTTTTTGTCATTTCATCATGCTACAAAAATGCCTAATGTTTGTGGGGCTAGTGCTTGTCATCTCCCAGAAGCCTAGCCATTCCAGAGCCCATGGCCAATGATAGTCTGGCAGAGAACAGCTGGCTTGATCTGTACATAGTTGTTCTGCATTTTAAGGAACAAAACTATGTCTACTGATGGGACGATTTAACCATACAGATAACATAAAAAAAAAAAAAATTGCTCTTTCCCTTTAAGTAACACATACAGAGCACATGTATCCATGGATACACGTGGAACTCCTGAAGTTCTGAAACAATATAAAACTTTGAAAGGATTGGCTCCTGGTAGGATCAGCATTTTCTCTTCCTTGTTCCATCTCAACGCTGGGTCAGATGCCCTATGACCAGCTTCCTCCCTTTCATTCACATGGTTTCCAAAGTGCTTTCATGTTCATTATTTTGTCAGTCATTCACAATGACCTTGGTGTTATCATTCGTTGTTTCCCAGATGTGGAAACTAAGGGTCAGATAGGGTAAGTGACTTGCCAAATATCACGGCCCACGACGGCAGAGAGAAAACCACACGACTGTTTGGCCTCCAGCCAGGCCAGATTTCTAGCTGCAGCTTCAGACCAGTAGACATTTTGGGTGATGACCTAGATTCTCTGCTCTTCGTAACTGGAAGAAGCAACGTCCCTTTTAGACTTTGCTAGACTCCATGTCTTGCCACATGCTGATCCCAATTGGTCTTTGACTCCAATTCATCTTAAGTCTCGGCCCAAGGCCACCTTCTCGAGGTGACCTTCTGTGACACCCTTATCTGAGGGTTCACTGTTATGTGTCCCCAAGGCATCTTGTTCTTCCTATTTAGCAATACTTACCATAATTATAATAAACTTTTTCAATTGTTATTATCTTCACTAAGCTGAAGTTCCATGAATCAAGGGCCATATTCAGCTAGTATAATTCCTAACACCCACTAGGCACTCAATACAGGTACAGTATGAGAGAACAAACCATTCCCTCTCACGGAGAAGTTTGGACGGGGCCAGAGAGTGTCAACCCATCAATCAGAAGAAGACTGACCAGAGGCAGCTAGAGAACAAGTACAAAAACATGTCCAAAAGATCAGCAGCTGGTCAACTCACGTAAGCTACTTATTGGCAGATCTAAACTGGGGCTAGGAACCAGAAATAGGACCAGAGGCAAGGGGAAGGGGTTTGTTTCTAGCAGGGTGAGCCACTCAAGCTCCCCTTTAGGGGCCAGAGGACCAGCATCAAAAAAAAACAGGGCCAGGGAAACAAAGTTCACAGCTTTCTTGAGGGCTGTTCAGTTAAAACAGATGGCTCGGTACAATGACAAATGCTTTCCTTTTTCTTGTATGCCCGACCATCTCATATAGTAGGTAATAGGGAACTATAGATAGATACCCTAGTGGCATATCATGGCAGAAGGTATGTTTAAAAAAGATTATCCTGGGACACCTGGGTGGCTCAGTCAGTTAAGCGTCTGGCTTCAGCTCAGGTCGTGATCTCACGGTTCATGAGTTCGAGCCCTCTGCTGTCAGCACAGAGCCCACTTAGGATCCTCTTTCTCTGCCCCTCACCTGCTGGCGCTCGTGCTCGCTCTCTCTCTCTCTCTCAAAAACAAACATTAAAAAAAAAAAAAGATGATCCTGATAGAGAAAAGCCACGCAAGAATCAGTAAGACCACCTAAAATGCTAACAAACGAGAGAGAAGGAATGAAAAGCATAAATTACAACAGTGAACATCCAAACAAAATGAACAAAATTGAAAGGTATTAGGAAGACATACTCTGTTGAGCGTGGTGACTGATAGGATTTATAATTAGTATCTCCTTTTCACTGACTTCCTGTTTACTAAGTATTTTTATGTCCTTTATCTCATTTGAGACTCATAGAAGCCTATGTGTTAGATGGATAAGGAAACAGGCGACAGGTGACCTGCCCAAGTCACACAGCTCAGAGGGGCTGGGCTAGGCCTGGAGACCAGGTGTCCAGACCACCATCTCCGGGCCCCCCAGGCAGCATCGGGCCATTGTGTCACCCAGAGTTTCGGTCATAGGAATGCGCTCACCTCAATCCCCCAGGATCAAGCAGATTTGATCTTGGCTGTGTATTCACATTTATGGCAATGCACATTTATAGCTGTGCATTTCCCAGAAGACAGGTATGAGGATTCCCATCAGCTCTGGGAGTCGCTGACGCCCTGAGGACCCACTCTGCTCCCTATGAGTCAGACCTGTTTTTCATCTTTATTGTTATTCCTGATTACTAAAGAAACTCCAGGGTCCTTATAAAATATCCAAATAAGAAATTCTAAAAAGATAAAATTCTATATACTCTGCTACAATGGAACTTTGATTTGATAATACCAAACACTAACATTTATGGAGCCTCAATTAATTGCCAGGCACTGGGTAAGGAACTTTTATATACAGCATCTCACTTACTCTTCCCCACAGCCTCAGACAAGCACTGTTATTACCTCTCTTTTACAGATGAGGAAACTGAGGCTCCCAAAGAATAACTTACCCAAGCTCACAGAGCTGGTGAATGATAGAGAGAAAATTCTGGGCACGTCCTAGGATTCCAAAGACCACATACCTACCTGTGACTGTGTATTAGGGATACCTTTCCAAGTCAAACATATTCAAGTTATCTGTTTCTTGAAAAAAGGACTAGTGCCTTTTTCTATTCCCCAAAATGTTTCTCAAGTTAACTAGAGTAAGAGGGCCAATCCACAGTTCATCTTTAAAAAAAAAAAAAAAAAAGTCACATTCTTCAAGTAAACTTAAGCAAGTTCTTTCCTGTCTACTTGCTGAGCCAGATATCCTCATAAATTATGCCCCCTTGTCTGTGGTGGACAAAGCTTGGATGTTGGGTTAGGTCCTGGCTATATTCTTCCCTCACTGAATGATTTGGGGCAAGTACCCTCTGTGTCTGCGTTATCGTCTTTATGATGAGAAGTTTGGGTAGCCCCTGAGGGCCCTTCTAGTCGTGACCTACTGTAACCTGTTCTCTCTCATGACTTCCTGCAATATGGATGGGCAATTTTTATAAGATCATTTATTTAAAATGAAATTTAAATGATCATCATAATATTCAAAATAGTAGAATGGCCAGGGAAAGGAGATTGGAGGCCAGATTAATTTCCTACGGCTGCTGTAATAAATGATCACAAACTGAGTGGTTTAAAACAACAGAAATTTATTCACTCTGGAGACCAGACTTTGAAATCTGGTGGCTGCTGGCATTCTTGGCTTATGACTACATCACTCCAATCTGTCTCTAGTCTCTGGGTCACACTGCCTTCCCTTCTTGCTCTGTGTCAAATCTACCTCTGTCTCTTTTTTAGAAGGACATCTTCTGTTGTATTCAGAGCTCACCCAGATAACCTGGGCTATCCCTTCCCATCGCTAGATCCTTAACTTCATCACCTTTGTAGCTGCCCTTTCCCAAATAAGATCACATTCACAGGTTCCAGGGATTAAGATCTGATATCTTTGGGGGCCATTATTCAGTCTACTACAGAGGGGCACCTGCAAACCCTATTTCAACTGCTTTATGATGACACTCAAGGCCATCTCCCAAGGACATCATCAAGAGCGAAGGACAGCAAAGGACAGCTGACCTCATGGCTCTTTGAAGGAAAACCCGTCAGTCCCTCTCACACTGGCTTTTTTTTTTTTTTTTTTCAGTGTGTCAGCTTTCAGAGGCAGTTGCTAGCCCAGAGCATGTCCATGTTAGGACCTTGCCCAGTGCCCAACACGTAGTAGGTGGTCATAAATATTCACAATGCAGGGCCAAGCAGAGGTGAATGTAAACATGCTTTGGGTATCTGACAGAGAGCAGAGAGGGAAGCAAAGAAAAAGATCAAGAGAGGCAGACTGCAGTGGAGTCAGTGTGTAATGAAGAAACACGGGCCGAAGGGCTGCACAACACCAGCCAGGACAAGGCCACCAAGGAGCCCTAGATTAGTCAACAAATGAGTAATTCCACGATACTAACCATTTGTTGTAAAACCAAACAACCTCTTGGTGTCAAACTCTCCTCTGACCTATCCAATTCCCTGCAATACAGGTTAACTTTCTTTTCTTTTCTTTTTTTCAGAAAAAATAAGCCCCAGTTTTCATTCCCACTGGTACTATACATGTCTTTCTTAAAGTAGCACAGGACATCTCAGCTCATCCTCTCTCTTACAAAATCACGAACTTCCGGAAGTGTCCTTAAGACACCAGGCAAGGTCCAAACAATAGGTTAGGAAGCCTAAAGATGTCTACGTTTTTGAAAACTTCCTAGGAAGTTTGGATTCAACACTAGATTTCAGCAGGCACCAGCAGGGTTCCTCTGGTTAAGTAATGCCTTACTCCACCACTCAATCACTCAGAGGTTGGCCGCTCTCCCCACCAAGGCCACTTGCTCTCTCTTCTGATTTAGAATAGCCTGGAAAAATGTCTCATCTCCACTTTTAGACCATGAGCTCCTAGATGGGAGGGGCAATGTCTTAAAATGAAGGCTGATTTACTGGGCCGCGTGTTCCTTCCAGCACCCAGTAAA